AGATATTTCAAAAACATTAATGTATGATTTTCATTATAACTATATGATTAAAAAGTTTAGTAAAATCAAATTATTGTATACAGATACGGATAGTTTAATATATCATATATTTACAAATGATTTTTACACTGATATAAAACCTGACCTTTCATCATACTTTGATACCTCAGATTATGATACAAATAATATTTTTGAATATCCAAAATTAAATAAAAAGAAATTAGGTTTTTTTAAAGATGAAAATAATGGTAAAATCATGAAAGAATTTGTGGGTTTACGATCCAAAATGTACGCTTTTAACTTAGAGAATAAGACTATAGCCAAGGCAAAAGGGGTAAATAAATGTATCACTAAAAAGATGACAATGAATAGTTATAAGTCTTCTCTATTTAATAAAAAAGTGCAATATTATAGTATGCTTAGATTTAAATCAATTAAACACACAATTTTCACACAAAAATTAAATAAGATAGGTTTATCATATAATGACACAAAGAGACATATTTTAGATAATAATATTGAAACATTAGCTTGGGGTCATTATAAACTGCGTTAAGTGTTGATAATTTTTACTTTTATGTCTGCGTTTAAGAAAAATTTATATTGATTGTAAAATTATGATAATACTATAATATGACGTAGTTTATTACATATTTAAACATTGTTTTATTGTAAATAATTTAAGTTAATTGTTGTTTCTATTTATTTGAGGTTGAGTTAATTGTAAAATTATGATGTACTAATTGTTGTTTCTATTTATTTGAGGTTGAGTTAATTGTAAAATTATGATGTACTAATTGTGTTAGAAATAGTATACAGATAATTCTGTTTTATATAATTTTTGGAATATATATTAATTGTTTACACCAACACTTTCATTTTTTATTTCACCCCTTTGAACTTTAGACGTGTGTTATGTTTCACTTTATCCATCCGTTCACTGCTATTGTGGCAGGACCAAGTGGGTGTGGGAAGTCAAATTTTGTAACAAATTTCATAAAATCAGTTACAGAAATATGTAATTGTGATTTTAATCAGATCACATGGTGCTTTGATGAAATGCAACCATTATATAATTTACCAAATGTTAACTATCATCAAGGAATTCCAAATCTTAATATGTTTGATGGTGAAAACCCACATCTTGTTATTATTGATGATCTAATGAGAGAGTCCGATGGAAGAATTGTGGATATATTTACAAAAGGTAGTCATCACAGGAATTTTAGTGTATTTTATCTAACACAAAATTTATTTCATCAGGGTAAAGGACAAAGAGACATATCTTTAAACTCAAGTTATATAATATATTTTAAAAACCCTCGAGATAAAACTCAAATAAGATATTTAGCAAGACAAGTATCACCAGATAACCCAAAATTCATTGAAAATGCCTACAGGGATGCAACTCTAGAGGCACATGGATATTTAATGGTAGATTTAAAACAGAATACCAATGATTTTTGTCGTATCAAGACAAATGTCTTTCCATTTAATGGTTTCTGTACAGTCTACGTCCCCACAAAAGAGTTTAAATACACCAAGAATCAAACAATTGAAATCATTGCTAAATGATGCATCGTCGACTCACAACGTATAAACATTTGCTAACCGCTTTGCATACGCTTAAACCAAAATATCAAAGAGCATTACTTAAAACGTGTGATGAAGAAGAAATTAACTGTATTTGTGAGTGTATTCATAACGTTTTACAAGGAAAAGTACCTCTTAAAGATCAGGATAAACAAAAATTGAATAAACATAAAAACATACTCCGTAAACTAGTACGTAAGTGTAAACATAAACTAAGAAAAAATATAATTATACAAAAAGGAGGGGCTTTCTTACCAACAATATTAGGTGCAATATTGAGTGGATTAGTGAGTGGACTAGCCAGTTAACATGGAAAATGCAAAGAAAATGATACTTATCGAACCTGGATTGATTGAAAAATTAAAACAAGAAAATAAGGTTAATAGTAATTTATCTCGATTAGATATTGAAATGCAAAATATTATGAATAGTAAGACGGAAGACCGAAAGAAATGGATATTATATTTACAAACACTGCAAAGATACCTTCATTTTACCGAAGAGGATCGTCAACCACTCAAATTACCAATTTATTCTGATACATCTAATGAAGATTCAAATGAGTCAAAAATTGGTTTTAAAAATAAAGATAGAGATCTAAAAACTTCAGTTGATATTGAATCTTTGCTGGAGGAGAATCGATCTATTAAAAGTAAAGAAAATGATGAAAATCCACTTTACACACCAGCTCAAATACTCAGTTTAATACCAAAAACTTATCATAAAAAAGGGCAGTTATTATTAAACTTAGTTGAAACAAGTAAAAGTAAAATACATTGGGATAACGAAGGTACAGTCATAATTGATAGTGAAAAAATTCCTGGAAGTAATATTGTTGATTTAATAAATGATTCACTAAGACCCCTAAAAAGAAGTGATCCGGTAGGGTGGGTTAGATTTGCTGAAGCATTAAAAGATATTAAAGTACCACTTACTTATATTGGAAATCCAAGGAGATGTGAGTTTATTAACCAACTTCAAGCAAAAGATCTGAACAAACCCTCTGAGATTGAAGTTCAAGAGTTTTCTACACCGTGCAGTAGAGATAAAAAGTCTACAACTAAAATACGTAAAGGACTTGAGTGGGAAAAATGGACTCCGTACTAGAAGAAATTAACAGGATTTATTATGATCCATCTAATCCCGCTGGTTTTGGTAGTATTGATAAATTATCAAAAGCCATGAAGGGTAAAATGAATAAAAAGCAAGTAAAGGAATGGTTAAAATCACAAGAAACATACACATTACATAAACCCATTCGAAAAAAATTCCCGCGTAATAGGTACATTCTATCAAATATTAATGAACTGTGGCAAGCTGATTTAAGTGATATGCGAACTTATTCTCAATATAATGATGGTTTCAAGTATATACTTTGTATTATTGATGTATTTAGTAAATATGCTTTTGCAAGACCAATGAAAAAGAAAAACTCAGAAACAACTAAAGAATGTTTTGAAAGTATATTTACTGAAAGTAATTTAACACCTACTCACATACAATCCGATAAAGGTACCGAATTTGTTTCAAAAGATGTACAAAAATACTTTAAATCCAAAAAGATTAATTACTATACCACTAACAATCCTGACATTAAGGCCAGTATTGTTGAACGATTTCAAAGAACACTAAAAATGAAAATGTGGCGTTATTTCACTCATAATAATACTTATAGATATATAGATGTTTTACAAGATTTAATATACTCTTATAATCACAGCTTTCACTCTAGTATTAAGATGTGCCCATGTGATGTAAATTCCAACAATATTATGACAGTTTGGACTAATCTTTATGATAGACGGTCAAAAAAACTTTCTTTAGAAAATCCTAAACCAAATTTCAATGTGGGTGATTATGTTCGAATAACTAAATATAAACATGTATTCCAAAAAGGATATGAATCAAATTGGAGTGATGAAATATTTATTATATCTTCAATAATTGATAGATCTCCATGGGTTGTTTATACAATAACAGATTTACAAAATGAACCAATAATTGGTACTTTTTATGAAAGAGAATTACAGAAAATCACTTACAACCCCACCTCACAACATAAAATAGATAAAATAATTGACACTCGTTATTCAGGTAACAGAAAAGAAGTATTAGTGAAGTGGAAAGGTTATCCAGATAAATTTAACAGTTGGATTTTAGCTTCTAGTTTAAAAGAAATATGAATAAAGAAAGTTTCTATTTAACTTTGCTCAGCAATAGTTCAATGGAATACTTTCCTGATAACAAGACCACAAATTATTCAACGAAATTACCAAAAGCTATAAAATTAGAAGGTGAATGGTCGGTTAGAGTTGTCGAGTTTCAATATCCATGTACCATGTTTACTGTTCAAGACCATGAAAATGTTATATACATTACAAAATCTATGTTAATGCCTAATGAAGATAAGCCATCCACAGTGTACTACAAAAAACATATTCCAGCTACCAACTATGATAACGTTGAGCATATTTTAAGAGTGTTAAATGGTATCGGAGAGAACTTGAAATTTCGCTATGATGAAATAACAAAATTTGTGTCTATTTCGGTATTGGATAAAAATATAACATCCGTAACATTATCACCCAAATTAAGTTTACAGCTAGGTTATGAACCAAATAAAAATCTCCTAGAGAGAAATTTTGGAAAGTGTCCTGCTAATTTACACTTAGGGTTACCATCTCAACTATTTCTATATTGCGATATTATCGATCCTCAGATTGTGGGTGATGTTATGACTCCTTTATTAAGAGTCATTTCATTAGATCCTACAAAATACATTTATGGTGCAAATAAAATGCACGTTTTCTCTCAACCTCACTACTTACCTGTTATGCGAAGAGAGTTCGATACGTTGGAAATAGTTATAAGATCGAGTACAGGACAAAAAATACCATTCCAGTTTGGAACCGTGTGTATTAAACTACATTTCCGAAAATTATAATAATGAATTCTCTTCGTGATCATCATAAATGTCCATATGAAAATTATTATACACATCAAGCTGGATCAGGAGTTGGAGTAATTTATAAGGGTTCACCATATCAACGCGGTCATGGTATTGGGAGCTTCTTAGGGGGGTTATTCAGATCAGTTTTACCTTTACTTTCAAGTGGTGCTCGAGTGATTGGTAAGGAGGCATTAAGCGCTGGAGTAGGACTTTTATCGGATATGGTTCAAGCCCGTCCTATGGAAGCCTCAATAAAAGATCGTCTAAAGCAAGTTAGTACGAATTTAAAACGAAAGGCTGATGAGAAAATTGATCAATTTAACATGACTGGATCTGGGTATAAAACTAAAAGAAAACGATTGACATCGTTCATTCCACCATTAACTGCTAAAGTGAAAGCTGCGAAAAAACTTAGTCTAAAACCAAAAAATATCAAAGATATATTTTCAAACTAAATATGTCTTTCCTTCATAATCATTCTTGCGAGTGCGTTAAGTCAGAATTGGATTTGTTTGCACTACCGTCTACACAAACTAGCATTGAAAATGGATTGTGGATTCATTATAAACCAATTTCATCTCTTGGTGATGATGGACCTATCGAGTTTCAAGTTCCTGGGACCGGCGATGACTACATAGATTTGTCTCATACATTACTCCACATAAAGGCAAAAGTATTAAATCAAGATTCAACTAACTTGGTATCTACTACAATAGTAGCACCTGTAAATAATTGGCTGCATTCACTTTTTAGTCAACTTGATGTTTATTTAAACCAAAAACTTGTATCACCACCTAATAATACCTATGCATATCGAGCATACATGGAAACCCTTTTAAACTATGCCCCTGCTGCTAAACAATCTCATCTTACTTGTAGTCTTTGGTATGAGGATACAGCAGGAAAAATGGATTCTACAGATGGTAAAAACATAGGATTTGTTAAAAGACAGGAATTGATTAGTGAAAGTAAGGAAATAGAAATGATTGGTCATCTTCACGGTGACATTTTTAACCAAGATAAATTTTTAATTAATGGTGTTGAAATGAGTGTTAAATTGGTTCGATCAAGAGAGAGTTTTAATTTAATTGTTGGGTCGAACAATGTAAAGTTTAAAGTTTGCATTACGGACGCAACTCTTATTGTGCGACGAGCACGAATTAATCCAAGTGTATTACTCGCACATCAAAAAGTTTTAGCTTCTACCACTGCTAAATATCCTATTACTCGAGCTGAAGTAAAAGTTTTAACAATTCCTTCAGGTGTTCAAGGAAAAACTCTTGATAATATATTTTTAGGACAGGTATCGAAAAGATGTATAATTGGATTTGTGAACAATTCTGCATTTAATGGTTCCCTTACTAAAAATCCATTTAACTTTGAAAACTATGGTATTAATTCTTTCAGCTTATATATTGATGGTCAACAAATACCTTCAAAAGCTTTGCAACCATCTTTTAATAATAGCATATTTACATCAGCATATCATACTCTATTCTCGGGAACTGGTATTCACTTTCTTAATGAAGGAAATGGAATCTCTTGTGAACAGTATGGCAAAGGTTACTGTCTATTAGCATTTGACTTAACTCCTGATTTATCAGCTAACTCATCAACTCATTGGAATCTCATAAAGCATGGTAGTGTAAGAATAGAAGTACGATTTGAATCCTCATTAATACAAACAATTAACTGTATAGTTTATGCTGAGTTTGATAATATTATTGAGATAGATAAAAACAGAAATGTTACTGTAGACTATAGTAGTTAAGGTTATAATATGTGTTGTGTGTTAGATTTTATGTGTTATGTGTAATGCATTTTGTGTGTATGTAACTATGTGAAACGTTATAAAATTAAATAAAACAAATTGTATGCAATATATTTTTTTTATTTCTTTATAAATCTTCTATTTAATCTAATACAAAACACTGTTCGAGTTGAAATTTTACATAAGCACACTGACTAAACCACTGAACATGCTGCTGCCAAGGATCATCATCATCTTCCCAATCTTTTAAACCACCACCACAATGGAAACACTTGGTCCCGTCTGCATGGCCAGTATAAAAGAAACCAGCTTCGGCAAGATCTTCAGGTTTCTGTCGCATAACTAGAGGCCAGTTTTCGAAACTAAGCAAACGGCTAGATTTTGAACTGAAGAATGGATATTCAGCTCTTGAGTACTGCATACTCTTCTCGTTTTCTTCTCCACTCAGTGTTGTAGTTTTGTTATTCAATGATGTGTTTTGTACACGTATACCACACTCATCTCTTCCTTCCGCTCTTGTCTTCCTGTAATTGAAGTAAACAGAATCACATTCACTAATGATCAGCTAATGACTGTCATTGTTAAAAAAGTATTTTTTAACTTTTTCACTTTCTGCTATTGTCTTTGTTATATTGTATACGAGGGCGTTTGTGTTGTCGTAGATGCTATCCTTATTAGTCTTTACATAATATTTAATTCTCGTGGAAGCATGTTTCCAATGATCAGTAGTTGGAATCTTGGATAGCTTCTTCATATCGTACATTTCAATTTTGATGAGATGCGTCGCTTGGTCTCCGTCGTCAGAATTAGTAGAAATGTATGATACACCATCTCTAGCGGCTCGTGCTACGGTTGATGATAACAGCTTCCTCTTTTTTATTTTTGATTCAGCTTCAAAAAAATGATCAATCGATTGCGATTTTCTTTTTCCACCATCGCATGTGTTATTATTAATGACGAGGTTATCACTCTCTTCTTGAGGGGAGAGTGGCGAGTAGTAATACTGTTTATAGGTATCTTCATCGAAGCTCAATGATTTCTGCAACAACACAGTTATCATGTTAATATCAATTTGTTAACACTTAATCATAAAAGTTAAAAAAGTTAAAGTTACAGCCTATTAAAGTCCACTGCTGAACATAGGCCTCCTCTCATTTCTGAGAGGGTTTTAGAGCAAGGAAATGTCCGCCGCGCTCCCTCAATGTGTGTTGGCGAACTTCACATGCCTTCGAAATTTTCTCAGACATGCAGGTTTCCTCACGATGTTTTCCTTCACCACCAAGCACGTGGTAATAAGCACTTAAAATTGCTATTAACAATTTAATTGGTGCTGGCGGGGATCGAACCCGGGTCGCGTACTGTGAAATTTACAGCTAGCGCTAACCATCTGAGTTACCACGGCTTAATCATATACATACACAATATTTAAATAAAATAATACACACACATGAAAATAACAGAAAAAAAGTAATTTAGTCAATAGAATAAACACTTACATCCATAGCCTTTGGTGTATTGAAGTAACACAAATGTACTATTGATAGATCCACTGTAGCCAAACGACCGTACACTAACTCGATGACTGCATTTGTTGGTCTTATATACCACCAGTACGTAAAAATTCTAATCTAAAGTATTTCCGTAATGAGTTGATAATTACTTTATGCGTCAACCAGTTTATCTCACATTTCCGTTGCCTATCTCAACATTTCTTCGTATTGTGTTTTGTTTGGTGATCAATGACTCAAGTACGATTTGTATAACACAAAAATGCAATTTAATATTTAGAAACATATCAGTTTATCTCACATTTCCGTTGCCTATCTCAACATTTCTTCGTATTGTGTTTTGTTTGGTGATCAATGACTCAAGTACGATTTGTATAACACAAAAATGCAATTTAATATGTAGAAATCACTATAATTGACCATTCCTATGTTATTCATTGAGTAGCTAGGTACTGTAATAATCTACTAATAGCAGTAATATCATGGATACACTAGATGTACAACAACATCTGAAAAAGATTCACCTCAGTCTAGAAAATAATGTTTATGCAGCTAATAGACTGCCTATGTATACCCACGTACCAACGTATATAATATGTAATTTGGATACAGATGATAAACCAGGGTCACATTGGGTAGCTTTATATATCGATACGAATGACGTCGGTCAATATTTTGATTCATATGGACGATCACCTGTACGATATCATCTAGAGTTTTTAAAAAGGAATTGTAAAAGATGGAACTGAAATGTTGATAGGATTCAGAATGAGTGGACTTCAGTTTGTGGCGAATATTGCTTAATGTATTTGCTATACAAGTTTCAAGGATGTTCAATACATAGTTTTACGAGTATATTTACAAGGAACACATTGTACAACGATATTTTAGTGGATGAGATGTTTCGCTCCTATTTTATAGATAATAATTAATAAGATTTTGTATTTTATAAATAAAAATTGTAACAAAATTATGTAATGTGTTTTATTGATGATTCAGATTAGCGTTGTATAAACAAAGAATTATAATACAATAGCACTGATATAGTCGACGCACACGCTGCAATGAAGGTGATTAAGGAACAATAGAACAATAGAAATAGGAACAATGGGACGCTAATGACGGTGGAGGCCCTTACCGGATATCAATTAGATATTAGCTAATTGATCTACACATCTCCGGAACCGTGCATTCTACACAAAAATGGACCGCGAATTCGTGATCAGAGCATGCCAAAACCTTTTTTTTTTTTTTTTTTTTTTCTTTTTTTTTTTTTTTTTTTAGGATCGGGCGTCGACGAACGTCGTTGAACCACGTCTGACTCAGGTGGTCTAGAAGTGGTACAACTACACTACTCTGGAAGCATGTACACTGTTTTAAAATTAATAATTGAATTTGAAGTTCGCTAACACGCAGTGGGGCAGCGCGGCGTACACTTCCTTGCCCTTTAACCCAGCAGTGGGACGTATATAGGCTGTAATTTTAACTTAATTTGTAATTTTACACAGACAGACACACAAAAATTCTAATAATCACTAATTTGGTTTTCGTGACTTTTATGTAGTACCCTGGACTCGTTTTTTCCAAAAAATATTAGAATTACGGACACGACTCTTCTACAGATTTATTATAATATGTATAGATTAAATAACGGTAGTACGAAATTCCACATTATTCGACTATTCCACAAACTTTCATTGATATAAATAAGTATTACAAAGCGGACTATTAAAAATCCCTAATTTTACTAAGACAAGAAGTCCTAATTTTAATAAGACTAAACGAATTTATCGACAACGTTTTTTCTTTCGCTAATGGCACATCAATAGAGTTGTCTTTGGAATGGAAAAACGGGAACAACCTTGTAAAAGAAAGAAGGCGAGCATAATATATCTATCTTATTTTGTACCATGTTAAACGTCATATGTATAAAGAGTTCAGCTATAAGAATTTTGTTCTTATTTTAGGATGCTCTCTATACTAGTAATTACTCTGAGAAAAACAGCAACAACCTTGTAAAAGAAAGAAGGTGAGAATAATATAGCAATCTTATTTTGTACCACGTAAAACGTCATAATATGCATAAAGAGTTCAACTACAAACAATTTGTTCTTATTTTAGGATTCTCTCTATGCTAGTAATTACTCTGAGGTTTGAACTTTGAAATTTGAAATACTTTTGACACACAGCAGGTTTTAAGTGAATAACGGTAAAGTTAATTTATAGAAGCCCAGAAATAATATCTGCAGTTGACGGGCACTTGATCAAATGTACGTTTGCGAAGCAAACTATTTGGCAAACGTATATTTGATCAAGACTAAGACCCCTTAGAAATGAAGAAAATCTTGATGTAAGTTTTATTTGAGAAAAGCTTTATTTATATACAAGCTTTTACCCGCGACTTAGTCCGCGTAGAACTTAAACAAGAAAAAAAATTCAAGATCAATGAAATTGATATTTGTGTAAGTGTTTCAACTACAAAAAACTGCTTTAAATTTTTGTTATCATTTAGAAAATAATTTAAGATATACGAGAATGTTTGGAAAAAAATGAAAATCTATTACTGCTGTGTTTGTATGGTGAGTGTAGAGAACCGGAGACCCTTTTTACTGCAAACGAGGCATTCCATCTCAGTCCTCAGGGGTGACAACGCATCTGCATTGTGATTCGTAATTGAGGATAAATCAAGATGGACCACAGCATCCACTTATTATCAGTTGGACTATGTGCTCGTTTGTCACCCTTACTCTATAAAAAAAATAAGTCTTTATATATAACCTTTAACATTAATAGTAGTGTTGTAAAATTATATTGAAGTAAAAATGTTAAAAACGGCTTTGCATCTAACTTAAGAAATAGACGATATAGTGTTATCTACTTTGTGTAAAATTGCAAACAAGAGAAGTTTTGTTCCAAACTTTATTGTAACTCCAAGAGTTGATGAGATTAGCATCAAGAATCATTTATTATATCTGTTTTTCGATTTTACAAGAATAGTTCTGCATGTTTTCCGGATCAAATATAGCCTAGATCACCCGTGAAATTACTCTGTACCTATTCGTGAAGTATCATCATAATCAGTTCAGACATTTCGAAGATTAGCCCGGGCAGACAGAGAGACGATTTTTTCAAAATAGTTATGTATATCTTAAAAGCATGCAAATAGCCCTCCGAGCTTAATTATTTCGATATTACTGACACTTTGATTTTATTTATACTATGTACGTATATCCTCTCAGCTGTTAACCGGCTAGAGGCTAGGGTTGGAGTAAAATAACGCGCGTATGTCAAGCGCCTTCTGGAGGTCAATCGGCTCTAACGTATTTCAATGTGCTAAATTGCCTCTTAAAACCATATTTATACTGCTCACTCTCGAACAATATGAAGGAAAAATGACAATGATGGTATAACTTCGCACCTAAAACATCTAATAATATGCATTATACAAATTTTTTGTCCTGCGCTCGGGTCGCTTAAATAAGGAATGTTATT